GTTGGGGCAAAAGCAAATGTTTGACATGTTCCTGAATTTGTCAATCTTACCTGCTCTCTAAGGGAATTCATATGCATCTCCTGATGCCTGAATAGCCTTGGAGTAGGTCACGCTGCTGGTATGTTCTAGATCTACATAGAAACAGTGCCTATGGAGATTACCAAACCAGTGTAGAACTGACCCAAACAAATGTCATAAATAAGTTCAAGTTAGAGTACCCTGTCATTGTGTTATATACTTGCATATGTTGTGGAGTTGGACAAAGACAGGCTTTACATTGTCAATTGGAATGGCGTCTGCTATAAACATCATTTATTTTCACTGTTGATAACATCGTAGCTTGAAGCCTTTCTTGAACCACTAAGAAAACTGTCTTCTTCTGGATGATATAGTGACTTTTGTGTCTATACAACAGTGTGATTACTATTCCCTAGGTCCACTGTTTTTCACCCTAGAGACAATGTGCATGAACACTAATTTACTTTCTTCACTATGGATATTATGGCATAAGCAGTAGAACAGTGGTTCTCAACCTGTGGGTTGTGACCATCAGAAAACACCTATTTCTGATGGGCTTAGGATCTGATACATGATTAAGTAGGAATTATCCTTATGAAGTAGGAACAGAAATAATTTGATGGTTGAAGGGGGGAGGTCGCCAATGCATGAGGCACTGTATTAAAGGATCATAGCATTAGGATGGTTCAGATGCACTACACGAGGAGGTCAGTGACTCTATATTAATTCCTTTTCCAGTTTCAATGGACAGTAGTCTCGTCTTCGAGGACATCCAAGTTGAATAAGGTATGTTTGTGGTTGTTAGTGACTCGATCACATTTGACTTGATTCCGTTCATCAAATGGAACAAGATAACTAAAACAGCAGTTTATGTTTAACACTGTATAGCTGTGGCTCTGTACTCCTCTCCCAAAACTGAAACTGATATTTGGTGCTGTACCTTCAAAATCCAGTGTGTAGCAAAATCCTATGTGGGGGTGGGGGTGGAGAAGAGTGGACCAAACTGGCTATGCTCACACAGTGTTGCCATCTATGACATTTTAGAATCTTTCTCATTCCTATGGGGAAGACTTTTAAGGCATAAACTTTGAATTGGAAGTTCCAGCTACCACCTGGCTTTTTTGGTGCCTTCGTGGAAGTGGAACAGTAGGCAAAGGAAAGGGTTACTCTACTGAAGGGACAAAAGGACCTTATGGAAATGCACAATTAGAGTTCCTGCCACACAATCAGAAAGGAGAAGAAACCAAGAGATTTTAGAGAGTTTTTAGCCCTTAGTTTCTAGTGATAATGATAATTAGGAAGTTATGACACCACACATTAACAAGGGGAAAAGAAAGAGAAATTCATACAATGAGGATACTGAGTATATATCATGAATTTCATGGGAGTGTCTATGAACCCTCATGCATAGTCATTGCAATGAATATGACTTAGAGTGATTGGCACAGGACACCAAGCAGTTCACTGTTTTGCCTATTACAGTAGTTATCTCTTTTGTCATTCTGTTTCCTGGTCCATGTTGCACAAACCCCAGAGAAATAAAAATTAGGTCATACAGCAGAGTAAGTATGACCACTTAAGGCTGTGGTTCTCAACCTGTGGGTCATGACCACTTTGGTTGAATGACCCTTTCACAGGAGTCACCTAAGATCATTAGAAAACACAGATATTCATATTGAGATTCATAAGAGCAGCACAAATTACTGATAAGGAGCAGCAACAAAAATATTTTTGTGAATCAGGGATGGCCACAATTTGAGAAAATATATTAAAGGCCCACAGAATTAAGAAGGTTGAGAACCACTGATTTGAGATCAAGGGGATAGTGGCAGAAGATAATTCTAGGAAAGGAAAACTAAAAGAGAATAATGAAATAGAAATTCTTCGTTTTGTTAGGTAATCCTA